TGCAGCTACAGACTCGGTTAAGGAAAGAAACTCACGTCAGTAGGGCTAATGTGATTAAACGACATTTGAACTCTCCGTCATGCAAGACAGGCATGCTCATCGGAAAAATCCTAGAGGTTGTTTCAAGGCTTAACAAACAGATGAAACAGGAGTAACACCTTGAATAAACATCTTGTTCTCTAGGAGGGGAGAGAATCTATGGGTTATAGGTATAGGATCTTTTCCCTACCTCATTATATAGGCCTTGAACTTAAGAACTGGAACTGACCTTTAGGATCACTCCTCTCGTTTTATGGATGAGAAAACACAGTCTCAGAGATGTTTCCTGACTTACCCAAGGCCGCACAGCTTGCCAGTGGTGAGACCATGTTGAAGACAAGGCTTCTTCTTGCTAATGAAGTGGCAAAGTGACAACCGTCTCTCTTTTTAAGCAGGAGAAAGAGCTGCTTCTTTACCTTGCTGCTAATAATGAAATGAAAGCAATGCCCTGGAAATAGGAGCAGGATGGGATTGTGCTGTGGATAAAGGATAACTTATAGAGGAAATAAAGTCTCTTATTTTCAGGGAAAATGAGACCGACTGCTCTCCACAGGACCCTCAGGGATATACAAGAAATAGATGTCTACTAATCCTTCTACCCCTTCTCTTTCACGAAGCATTTTAAAGTAACAAGGGAACAGAGGTCTAGTTCAGTGGGTTTCCAACTGTGCTCCCCAAAGCCCAGCAGAGTTGACAGGGGAACTAAGGGGCCCAGAATCTACACCCCTTCTCGCCGCCCTACCTCCTGCACCCAAGAGAGCTCCACTTCTTTCTACCTGCTTTGGACATCGGAGTTCTGGGTAGAGTTTTGTTCGAAGAGAAAACAAACACTTCTAAGAAGAAGTTTGAAAACTCCATACTTGATTTAATCCACCCATTGAATTACAGTGTAGGAAGCTGAGACCGAGGAAGGTCATCGAGCGAAGAATCCACTGCCCTCTTCTTGTTACTCTGGGACCCCCCCCCCCCACCTTCCCTTTCTAGCAACTCGGTCCCGTCATCCCAGACCCACCTCTGACAACAACCTAACTCTCCAGTCCCACGTTCAGCCAGTCCTAAACTTCCCTGTTTGGGCCAAGGCCATTTTCCTTCCGTTCAGCTAAGCGCAGTGATGGGACTGTTGTTTTGCTGAGGGACTGCCAGCAGGCTGTTGCCCAGCGTCACCTGGTGCCCTCGCCTGGCCGGGAGTGAGCCATTGTCATTCTAATTATTTAAAAGTATTCACAGCAGTCAGGGCTTCCTTTTAGTGAATGTTAGTGTCAAGTGCAGGCCATACAGTGTTCCTGTAAAACAACTCCGGTTGAATTTCCTTGGAAGGCGGACCAGATTTTTAGGTTTTCTTTTACTTCTTCTCATTACTTCCTGAAAATCAGCTATTACCAAGGAACTGGTGGTTTGTCTTCAGTTGGGTTCTGTAGAAGGGTGAGTTCCTTCTGAAGCTGGCAAAGAGCCTCAGAATTGTGAGTGGGTGGATACAAAATTGCTTTACCTTATCCAGAGCCGGGTTACCTCTAGGCCACATCAGATGGTGCTTAGGCCTCCAGCAAAAGGAGGGCTCCTGAGGAGGAGGGGAAAAAAAAGAGAGAGAGAGAGACAGAACGATATAAATGTCAGAAATAATCTGACATTGACCATGTCCAATAAAAACACCGAAATACTCATCATGGGGGGAAAAAATCAGACCTTCTTGACTTTAGGACTTATTATTCCCTTTCTTTCCAATTAGGTCTAAAGGTGTCACTTTAATCCTTTTATTCTTGGGCCTCTGAGGTCTATATCTGGCTGGAGCTGGCTCATCCCTCAGGCTGCTCTCCCAGATGTAAGAGAAAACCGGCTCTGAACAGCCTGGGGCAGGGTGTGCCTGCTTCTCTTTGGGAAATGAATTTGCCCCAGGTGAAAGGTATTCACAAAATAGCTGGAGAAAGAAGTCCCTTGTCAACTCACCGAACAGGGTCAGTAGCTCCAACTTCGGCAGGGTCAACTTCCCTTCTGTATGTGGAGATTGGCCTAAAGGGGTTTGCCCTTGAGTTCAACTCTCTTTTGGCTGGGCTGGACTCCTCTGACACAGGACAGGGCATTTATGCTGTTCCTTCTGGGACACAAGCCAGGCCTCCCGAGTAATGGATGGTAGAGCTCTTCAGAAGAAAGTCTAGTTCATTTCTCCTGGGGGCGTGTTTGTGTTCAAGAAACGAAGGGTCCCCAAACCTGGAACTGAAACCTCAATGATCAAGAAGAGGTGTAGAAGGATTAAGTGTGTTTTCTTTACAAGTTTTACTGATATCTTTCCAGGATTCAGTCCTCTCCAAGAAAAATAGAGGCAGAAATTATAGTATTTATCTTGGTGGCCATGTGTCTGTGCAAACGATGTGTGATATTTTACGAGTGGGTGTGAAAGTGTGTGCGGGGCTGAAGTGTGACTTTGTAATATGTGTATGTATCCAACGTCTGCTCAGTATCTATATAAGTGTGAGTGCCATGCAAACAAGAAGGTGAATTTATACATGCTTTGGTATTGAAGGGGTTAACTACACCAAAGCAAAGGCAGAGGTTCTAATGAGTTTTCAAAAATTTTAATAAAGTGCCTTAATTTTCTTCAGATAAAGAAAGGACAGAAAAAAAGAAATGAGTTACTCTTTTTTCTTTCCGTTAAATTTTTACCATGGAAAATACAGACTATCAGCTATGGATTATATATAGTTTCAATTTTTTTTGAGTGGGGAAGTGATTTCTCTTGGTGTGGATGGGAAATGAAACCTTCCTATGAGGAAGTTTCCTGTCTTTATTGCTGATTGTGTGTGCCTGGTCTGATTCCTAAAAGCTTGAACATGGTGGGGTGGGGGGAGTTGAGGAGGAGAAGTTCTCCTTTTGGGAGTGGCTGGAGAGAAGCAGAGCAGGGGTGGGAGGAGGGAGAGAGCGTGGATGATGTAGAAACCATCACAATTACTGAACAGGAGCTCTGCTCGGGGTCCCTCTGGTGAGTTACAAGGCGAACAGTGTGGTTTGGGGGTGAGTGTGAGTCAGGGCTGCAATTTTCAGCAAAAGAGCGGGCAGAAAATCCCCTCCCCTGCTAGCCTGGTAAGAGCCGCTGGTGAGCTAAGTCCCCACACCTCTGCTTTCTCAGAGCGTCCTTCTCAGCCCGATCGCATGTGCCTGAGCCAGCACCAGCGGGCCACAGTTCGACTTGCTGGAAGGTGCTGGGTACCTGGCATGGCAGTGGCGTGGGCAAGGCTGCGGGGATTGGCTGCGGAGGGATGGGCGGTCCCGGGCCTCGTCCTGCGCCTCCTCTCCGGCCTCCTCTCTGTCTGCGGGAGGGCTGGGCCCATTGTCCTGCTGGACTGGGGAGGGTGCAGGGTCATTAGTTAGAGGATGATGTGGGCTCTGCTAGCCAGAGGAAATGGCCTGCTTTTGTTTTCTACCCGGTAGGAAATGGAACCTGAATCCATTAGATTCTGGGCAGTTCAACACGGCACAGTTTGAGCACTTGGAGGCACGATGCCTAAAAAGCTACTTGTGTGGATTTGTGTGTCCCAACCACCATTGTGCGGCATGCCCATCTTTTATGCATTTAAAGCCTGTCAGGCTGGTAATCTAAAGCAGAGGTCTGGAAGACAGTAATGCCAACAGACATGGGGAATAGTAAAGTGCACCTGTAGAGTTAAAAAATGCATGACCCTTTCCCTCAAAGAGCGAACACAGGAGAAAGACCCCGTCCTGTAGGGTGGCTGCTGAGCCGTAATGCATAATTCACAGGCCCGTGCTGCTCCATGCAGATGGCGATATTAAATTGTGATTGATGCTAAGAAAGGCGCACATCTCAGGAAGGTCTCTGGGAGGCTTCTGAATATTTCCAGGTCTCTCGTGCCTTCCCGTCCTCTGTTCTACTGCGGTATTAAGCAACCCCCCCCCATTTCCCAGGAACCCCTCCTGGGGATTCCAGAACTTTGCTCCCAAATATATGAGATTCTTCAAATGTCATCACCCACCTTTTCTGCCTTTGAAGTCGCCCCCTTGCCTCCTGGCCCACAGGAAGCTGTTTACCTCCAGCCAGGCCCTGCTGGGAAGGAGGGGACAGCTACCCCCCCTGCAGTGGCCTTTCAAATGGCCGGGTCCCGGTTGCTGCTGGACAAAGCAGCACACTCTGGTGGTGGTGACGAGGCAGGAGGGACGGCGGGTAGAAAGCAAGGGAAAAACACAAAGCACTTTTGTCGAAGCTCTGAGGTCGGAGCCGGTGAATTCTCCAATGCAGATTTTTTCCACTCGGTGTATAATGAAATAATAAATCAAATTTGTGGTGTATGTAGAATTAAATGTTTGGGGTTTTTGCTTTTTCTTTCTCAAAAAAAAAAAAAAAGAAAGAAAGAAAGAAGAAGAAACAGCAGCTAAAATCACCCTCCAGGGCCTATTCTGGCCCAAAGCTGAAAATGTTTCCTCCACATCACATGTAATTGTTACCAGGCTCGCTTGTGGGTCGGCACCACAAAACCACTATTGTCAGTTCCCGGAGCCCTTACTTCTGGCGGCCTGGGCTGGGCTGGGAGACACCCAATGAAATGAAGGATTTATGAGATAAAGATGGAGATGAGAGGTTCGAACAAGAAGATGGGCCAAGAAGAGGAGACAAGAAAAGGCAGGGGGCAGGTTACGTTTGCCGCTCTCTTGTTTGTTTCATCTCAGGCCATGTAATTGGGAATGTTTATGATCATTTTCTGGAATATTTTGATTTGGGGAGTGTGTGTGATTGTGCACGTGTGTGTGTGTGTGTTCAGTTGGGTGAGTGCGGGGGGATGAGCTGAAATAATCTCTTCCACTGAATGAGTAAGTAGGTTAGTCTTCTGGACTGCCATAAAAGGTCTGTAAAACAGTTTTAATCAGCCACTGGTAGGGAAGAGAAACGGAGAGGGGAAAAAAAAAGAGGCTGTAGCATATTTGAAGTTCTTTGGGTTCTTTGCCTTCTCTTTCAGACTCACCCTGTGGAGGTCGTTTGAATTCCAAAGATGCTGGCTATATCACCTCCCCAGGTTACCCCCAGGATTACCCATCCCACCAGAACTGCGAGTGGATTGTTTATGCCCCTGAACCCAACCAGAAGATTGTCCTCAACTTCAACCCTCACTTCGAAATCGAGAAGCACGACTGCAAGTAAGCGCCTGATTGTACATCCGTGAGCCACACACTCCTACCCACTGCCCTGGCTCCTGCCTCTTCTGCCACCTATTGGCAGCACCCCTAACCCACCTGCTGAACAGTGGCCCCCAGAGGGAAACCTCAAGATGACGTTCTCTTTCGGGGGAAATAAAGGCCTAGGGGATCCCATAGTATGGAGGAAAGAGCCTTCTTGAGTGAAGAGTGTAGAGAATAGCGCCCTATCTTCAAAGCGGGCAGTGGAGGAGAATTCCATCTAGGGGCTGGGGGTGGACTGCAATATACCAGCTCTTGACTTTGGAATTTCCTTTCCCCCTGGAGATCTCCCCATTTGCACCGCCACCACCACATGTAGAAACCCCACCAGCTTCCTTAATGAACTAGTAGCCAGATCCCCACGTGGAGACTTCCTCTGCATCCAGCCCTAGAGGATCAGCCTGTTATTTTATGAAGCAGCAGCTGGTTTCCTTACAGAAAGAGAGTTAAAAATCTGAGTCTACACTGGTAGGTCTAAGATTCGCAATGGTTCTTGTTACCTGTGCTGTCTCAAAGCTGATGTTACAGATTTATTTCACCGACACCCTTCTAACTGCTTTACAAATATCACTCTATCCAGTCCTCACAGTGGCCCTGGGAAGTCGGTGGTGTCAGGACTAGCATTTTGCAGATGAGAAAACCGAAGCCCAGAGAGCTTGTCAGTCACCCGAGGAGGCTCAGTTGGTCTCATAACATCAGTCCTGCCACCTTGGAAATGTGCAGCTTAGGAGATACCAAGTGGGCATTTAGACAGCCCTGGGTGCTTTAGAAATGCCTTCTTGACACCAGAGTCCCTTAAATTAAGGTGAAGGAGCAGGTAGCTTTGTAATGTCAAGAATTCGTGAATGTGCTTTGTACCATCTAGTGGACTCTATCTGAAAGTCTTTGGTCATTGAAACAATAGTGCAAGTTTTCTGTGCAGAAAAGAATGTACCAGTGATCATGTCCTGTTCCAAATGTGCCCCTATGATGTGCCCTACCACTGGGTGTTCAGTGTCCCCTTATGATTCCTAAACAGTCTGGACATTCCTTGTGACCAAGGCGTTGCAAGTACGGAAAAATTAATAAAGGGGCCAGCTGGTGAGAAAGGTGCAAGGGAGCAGGCCTACCTCCAGGCCAGTGCATCCTCATGGAGGAGACAAGGCCCCCCTTGAACCAGGGCTAGACTGTGAGGCGGTGCATTGATGTCACTGTTATCCTCCTAGGACTACTTCACACCTACGTAATGGTTTTCTCCTAGCAAGAGGTAGTCTGCACTGAAAACCAGAGGGTTTCTGGGATGGCTGCCTCATGTGACGAAGAGTCATAAGACGGATTTTCTAATCCCAGATCTACTCTTGATCAGTGGATGACATAGGGTAACTCATCAGTTCCTCTTTGTCTGAGTTAAATGCACAGCCTGATACACTCGTACAGCATCTCAGGTCTGCTGAGTCCCTGCAGTGGACTTTAGCAAGAGTTTCTGTTCGAAGAGCTCCTATATTGGATGTTTTTGCTCCCAGTGCCTTTGGCTGGGCTGTAGACGGTTGGCACAGACAGCAACGTAATGCACAGAGAGCTTGCGTCTGAGCTCCGAGAAATTCAACTAAGCACCTCTGTCGACTGAGGGCCAAATTCTGTTATGCTTATGCCAGCAAATCTCCCAGGGAAATTGCTAAGGGGTCATCTTATGTATATTCATATTGGAAGTAGAGCAAGGCATGGCTTTTGGAAGGAAAAACTCAGGGAGCCATGTTGGGAAGTATGCAAGGCCAGGAAAACATGCTCCTGCCCTGTTTGGGGCCACGGGGGCCGCCTTCCCCCCGCAGGACTCAGCCCCAGGGGTGGGGAGAACTCAGGTTGCTGGAGTCTCTGGCAGCAAAAGAGGACAAGAATGTTGCCTCTTGCTGGACTTGAAGTAGGGGAAGCAGACAAGTTACAGGTTATCTTCTGGCTTATCATCCTTACTAAGTAGCTTCCTGTTTTTCTCCCCACTCCCCCATGGATGCTTCTAGCTTGAACTGAAAAGATCAGGAAGGTCAGAAAAAAAAATCTTTCTGGGGTCTCTTTTCCCCAGTGCCAAGTTGTCAGAAAGGCTCGGCTGGGGTCAAGCCTCCACTGCTTAACCTCGTCCTTAATTCTCTCTCCCTCGCCCCCCCCCCCCATTTCCCCTCCATTCCCCATTTCTCTGTCATTCTTGTTGATTTTTTTTATTTAGAAAGACACATCCGGTTCTCTCAATCTCTCACCCTGCAAGGTATTTTTAACATTCTTCCCCGGCTATTTGCATTCAGAATAAATGAGCTTCTCCTCCCCCACTGCCTTGTTCCACTAACTGGTGAGAGGAACAATTTACCTAACTGAAGGGTTCGAAGTTCTGTCTGGTTCCCCGTCTCTCCCACTCTGTCCAAGGGAGATCCTGGGTTTGGAAAGCACTTACTACCAAAGGAAATTAGACTCCTTTCTCTTTTCATTTCCGGTGCATGTTTTGAATTGGCCTTGACTCTCCGGGCCCAAAGCGTGGATGGACGCTTACCAAGAGAATGCCTCCTGCACTGTCCTCTCCCCTTGACAGGGCATAGCAGCAACACCCCTGCAAAAAGGAAAAAAAAAAAAAAGGAAGAAGATAGCAGGAGGGGAAGAATGAAGTGGGGGAAATCAGAGGGGGAGACGAACCATGAGAGATGATGGACTCTGAGAAACAAACTGAGGGTTCTAGAGGGGAGGGGGGTGGGAGGATGGGTTAGCCTGGTGATGGGTATTAAAGAGGGCACGTTCTGCATGGAGCACTGGGTGTTATACGCAAACAATGAATCGTGGAACACTACATCAAAAACTGATGATGTAATGTGTGGTGATTAACATAACAATAAAAAAGTAAAAAAAAAAAAGGGAAAGTGAGTAAGAGCAGCAGGAAAAAGCCAGCCCCACCGTGGAGGAAGGGCCGCGGTCAACACCTCCCCGTCCTCCCATGTGCAGGAGTAACTGCAGAGGTTGCCCCGAGATCCAGGAGCAGGCCCGGCCTGGTGGCCCCTGGGCCCTTGGCTCTCTGTGCCTTGAAATCCACAACTCAAGGGTTGAGCCCGTTGAAGAATAAACCCCAGACAGACCTTTTCCCTTTAACGGCCGCTTGTTAATTTTGCTTGGAAACTTTCACTCACAGCCCCAGCTTTGCCTGAGTCAGCCATCTCAGGCCACCACCATCTGTGGGGAGCTCTCCGACTCCTCCCTCGGGCTGTGAGCAGGAATCCAAACCCCCAGCACCCGCAGGCTGCTCTGTGGGCAGAAACCAGAGGCCCCCGTGGCCTGGCCACACAGACGTGGCCGAGGGACCAAAGGGCAGGACTCAAGGCCCTCTGAGCGAACAGGGAGAAGCCACTCACTCCCTGTGGTGAGGAAGAGGGTACTGCTGCTTTTCACCTGAGTCATCCGGCAGTAGGCGGGACACTAGGGCTTTAGAAACATATGTACACAGACTTGAATCTTTTTCCATTTCTAAAATCTAAGATATATGCGTTTTTTAAGAACACCCACCTGCATATGATACACAGCTTATTCATGAGTCCTCAGACCGGCATGGCATCCCTCCCCATCCCAGAGGCCCAAGTAAAACCAAAACCAAGAGTCTGGGCCCTGTTAAGAATTGGTCATTTCCAGATGGGTGTCTTGGAAAACGTGCTTCACAAAGTGCACAAACCACTAGGAAGACCTGAAAGAACATTTCTTGGGCTAAAGAACCCACACGAAGTTTATAGGAATGATTTTATGCGTGCATTTAGTGCAGCTTCATCTCATTTACCATGGGAGAACCGCGCTCCATCCAAGGGAAATGTTTAGATACTCAAACCTACTCCTATTCAGAGTTCCAAAGGTCTTTTTTGAAAGGATTTCTGATAAAGAACATTCTAAATCCCGTGCCACACTTCCCTGTCTTCTTAAACAAAACCAATAGTAAGGGGAGTCAACTTTTCCTTGATGATTCAGGCCTCTAATTTTAAACTTCAGTTTTTGAGACCGAGGCCGAGTAATGTCCAATTTGGATCAGGGAGGTTGAGAGTTGAGTTTTTGTTGACCTTTTAAACTTCCCAGGCCTCAGTTTCCTCACCTGCAACACTGATAAGTACTTTGCAAGATTGCTTTGTCTTGTCTATATGGATTCACAATGAATTAGCAACCGCATTAGCATCTTTGTCCTTTGTCACGGGAAATTCTGCGACTTTTTTCTATCAATACTCTTGCTGTCACTTCCTGTTAGGTGTATGCCTGCTTCCTGGAGCCTTCCGCTTCCGACTTGTTTTACTCTTTTATTGTGTTGTACGGATTTTGCTTCTGGAGGTCTTACTGTCCATGGGAAGTGCTGGTTCTGGGCTCTCGGCTCTGCCCCAAGCCAGCGTAACCCCAGGGCCAGCATGTCTGCTCGGCTTCAGTCGGCCAAGCTCATGGCCGAGCAGGCTCTGCGACACACCCTCAGGGACAGAGTGTGAAGAGCATCAGTGCACAGAGTCCCCTGCATCAATTGAGGTGCTCAAGGTCTTTTCTTCTGAAACCCTCCCCCCAAAGCCCACCCATGTTCTAGATATTGGAGCTTTAGGGATATTTGGCCTCTAGCTAAGTGTCCTGGATAAACAAGGTACTCTTGTATTTATGGCCAGAGGAGCTCTCTAAATCGTAGTTGTGTCTATTTCCCCCAAAGTAGGGGATAATATCTTAGAGAGGTAGCAGCTTCCCAGGTTGATAAACTGACTCCAGTCAACATAGGGAACAGACCAGACCTCAATAATCTAGCCCCTCCCCACCCAGTCAGTAGTGACTTCCTAAGCTCAGTGAGCACCCTCCATTCCAGTCAAACAGCCAAAGACAACCTTATATCTGCATGAAACCCTGTGAGTGCCCAGTGCTTGGACCTGCCTCCCTCTCCCCTCCATAGGGACCAACTGAACACTCCCCTCCTCCTCCCCTCTGTTTCCTTGATTCTTCCAGTT